CAGGCGGGCTCTCCTCATCCTCCGCAGAAAGTACAAGCGCTTCTGTGCCCTCTTCACTAGAGATGAAGTGTTTACAGTCCAGGTGAGGTTGTCCGTGATGTGCACCCCCAGGAACTTTGTGCTGCTGACCACCTCCACAGCTGAGCTGTTGATGAGCAGTGGAGCATGGTGGGGGCGGTTTTTCCTGAAGTCGACGATGATCTCCTTCGTCTTCTCCACGTTCAGGATCAGACTGTTTTCACTGCACCAGTCCACCAGCTGCTCCACCTCCTCTCTGTAGTCCCGGTCGTTGTCGTCCCTGATGAGGCCCACCACCGTGGTGTCGTCCGCAAACTTCACGATGTGATTGGTGGTGAACCTGGGGACGCAGTCATATGTCATCAGGGTGAACAGCAGGGGGCTCAGGACGCAGCCCTGAGGGGAGCCCGTGCTGAGGGTGATGACATCAGAGGTGTTCTGACCGACCCGGACTGACTGAGGTCTGTTGGTGAGGAAGTCCAGCAGCCAGTTTCGAAGGGGTGTGTTGAAGCCCAGATGTTCCAGCTTTCCCACCAGGTGCTGTGGGATGATGGTGTTAAACGCTGAACTGAAGTCCAGGAACAGCATCCGCACGTGGGTGTTCTTCTCCTCCAGGTGGGCCAGGCTCAGGTGAAGAGCAGAGGAGATGGCGTCCTCAGTGGAGCGGTTTCGCCGGTAGGCAAACTGGAACGGGTCGAGTGTTGGGGGGAGACTGGAGACTACTGTCACTTTGTTACATAAAAATTAGGCCATTATGCTAAATGTTAAGGAGCGTAATGCCACAGACACAGTTTTAAAAAAAGCTACCTATTTATTTGCACATACATGTCAGAAGCCTGTATGTTTGAAGACCTTGTCAGTGCTGCATGTAGGTGAACACATAAGCTCCCACCACTTGACAGAAAGCGCATTGAAGGCAGGTTTAGAGTGCTCATAGGGACGTATGAAAGGATTCCCAAACAACTTTTCTCCCATATTAATATGATTTATTTCAGCCTTGCTAGCTCTAATCAGGATATTCCAACCAACATTTTTATATGAATCGTTTTAGTCCGATCTGCCGTTTTATTCTAATTAATTATATCCATAAAAAACAAAAAAAAGTTAGTTTTTTTACTCTGAATACATTTCCAACCTATCGTGAAACTTTGTCCATGTAAACATAGCTACTAACCTTGAGGTGGTTGCCTTATGTATGTGTGGTGCTCAGATTTTCTTTTCTAAAACTTATATTAGCATCTTGCATTAAGATGGCAGGTGAATTTGCTTGGTCTGCTGTTTCTGAACATGGGGGAAGTTCTTTAGATTGTCCTCCTCTCGAAGACTTTTTTGCAAACAGTGAAATTGTTAATTGAAATTTTTAATTAAACGCCCTATTTGAACCTCTTGCCAGACTTATTAGCCACTAATGCCCTCTTTGCAAAGACCTCACATCTCTTTGATCTTACGTGAGATTCTGCTATAACATCAGTAGTCAGGAGCATAGAAAACTAAATGTTTTGGGTTTAAACAAGACAAACCTCCTAAAATACTTAGTGATTATGCACAGCTAATATTATATACTTTTGTTGGATTTAAGCTACTTTACATTGGAATAAATGTTTTCTTTTTCATCTCACTTTAAGAACATTTGAAACATATTGATGGGTGTAGGATGTACATTTCTGGAAGTTATAATGATCATAATTAATATAAAACAACAATGTTTTGAAGTTTTGAAATCTCTGAAGAATTATTCTTCTGAATCTACCGACACCATATTATATATATATATATATATATATATATATATATATATATATATATATATATATATATATATATATATATATATATATATATATATGTATATATATATATGTATATATATATATGTATATATATATATGTATATATATATATGTATATATATATATGTATATATATATGTATATATATATATATATATATATGTATATATATATATATATGTATATATATATATGTATATATATATATGTATATATATATATATATATATATATATATATATATATATGTATATATATATATGTGTGTGTGTGTGTGCATATAGCTTTTGTACAAAAAATTTGTGTTCTTTGGCCAGTACTGAAAATGAGTTGTCAAAGCACCTTTTTATTAAATCCATGGGGTATTTTTAACACAACCAGCAATGAGAGAATGTCTTTTCAGGGTAATATATATAGTAAATAACTCAGATACTCATGCAGTTTTAAAAAGCTGCAGCTCAAATACAGTTTCCATGAATGGAATATCTGTAATACCATGGAAAATGCTCCATTTACAAATATACAAGGAAGTATTAGGATATGAAAAGCTTTTGACAGCATGTTTCCATAGCAACAGACGTTTACTGTTTATGCACTGATTATTTCCCACAGGTTCAGTTTAGTTCACGTCAAAACAAATTCCTAATCTTCCTCAGAAATACTCTATATTTTTAAAACTGCAAAAGAATATCTTCGATTTGCTGATAGTCCTGTGAAATGTGTAAGGGCTGTTTTGGACCTGTTCTACCTGTTTTACTTTGAGACAATCCCTTTAAAAACAACATTTAGGCATGAGAGTAGGGCACAGGTAGCTGGCTGTTGCCAGCAACAGTTTTTTATCTACAAAAATACCAAAAACCTGCAAGAATCTGATCATTAATCTTTAGTGTGTTTTGAAACTATGGAGTTCAGGAAAAAAAAAAAAAAAGAGTTTTAATACATAATGTTAGTTAACCTAAATATCCAAGGATTAGATTTAAAGTTTCTCTAAGTGCCTGTATCATTTTGGCAAAACACTAATTAGGGTAGCCCATTAATTTAAACTTTACAAGCACGAACATATGAACAGTTTACCCATGTTTTCATTACATCTAAGACTGTGGGAAACGCATGCATGTGCAATTCCAAATGTGCACGAAACACCCTTTGTGCTCTCTTATCAAAACAAAGCACTGTAAAATCTCTTGCAATGTACACCAAAAAGATACAAATTTATCTCAATGCAGTACACAAAATACATACTAGTACATTATCAAAAATGATTTATACGCTTCTGAACATTAATCTAAGCAGCTGTCTGCTAATGCCTCAACTTCCACTGATTCATTTTAAAATACAGCCTGTGTTATATACAGGCATGCATCTTCATTTTCTGGCTCAAAGTATGCTTTAAATCAGTGCTGGCAAAGCTAAGCTGGAAATCTGACTCAAATTATACTGTTAACCACTTTTGAAATGTCCAGTATATCATATTCTGAAAGTACTGTTGAATCGTTTCCTCGTCATACACCTGAAGAACTTGTTTACTTAGGTTTGTGGTTTAGAAATATGTCTCAGTAGTCATGCTTCCAAACCACCATGATTTACTTACTGTTCCGGTCTTCTTAGCTGAAGTATACAAGAATTATAGTGTCCTCTGTGGCTCAACGCTGATGTACGGCGGTGGAGGCTGGAAAAGTAGGATGGTATAATCCAGGTCATGATATTTTTTTGTTGTTTTTTGTAATTTATAAAAGCCCTTCTTTGCATTTTTATTATTTGTAGATTTAGAATCTCTGAAAGAAGGCTCCAATATGACCTTAAAAGTGTGTGAATATTGGATTTTCTTGACAGCTAGTTGAAGTTACTGCAGAGTTGAGGTAGATACAGTGGAGGAAATGAGCAAAGGCTTTCTCTGGTTGAAACCAAATCCTTATTTTAAAATAATATTCCAGTTTGTCTTAACTGTAAGTTTAGACCATTTGCCATTTACACATCTGCGTTTTACATAGCTTATAATAAGAACATTTTTCTATTTACTGCACAAATGATGTAATTGCAATCAAATATCACTTCTGTTTTTAACAAACATTATTAAGATTATAGATTTTTTTCAAGCAGGATTTTTTATTTTAAAAGGTCATTGTAATTTTAATACAGAAAAAAAATGTTAGGTACTTAAATAACCATTTGGTGTTCCATATAAGATGACTGGTGAACGTGCATCAACTATTTAAATAACACCTCTCATTATTATTCAAAGCGGCTAACTTTTTAAGAGTACATAATTGTATTGGCTACATTTAATTATTTTCCTACCTAATAAAAGGTAATTTTACTTGGCGCCTAATCTTTAGTTAACAAGTTGAAATGTTTAACCACACATTTAGACCACTACTCATTTAGAAATGCTGTCCTGAATATGTTCCAGGTTTTCAGTTTTTTAGCCGTGCAGAACATCTTATTTCATCTGAACATGGTGCTCCTTTTGAGGAAATGTTTTTCTGCAACTCTATTACGACTATACCGTCTGTTTCGGTGGCTGAAAAGTCATATTTAGATCTTGAAGAGGAAAATGGTTGCATATTGCAATAAGAGGTACAAACTGCGTCCATATGTGGAACTTAATCAGCATTTTTCATCGCCATAGAATAAGTGCAATCAGCATTTTTGACAAAGTGTGACGGTGGAGCAGGTGATCAGCATAGAAAAGATCATCACTCAATGAAAATAATTTTTTTGTCTGGTTTATAGTGTCAACTATGGTCATCTTCCATCTGGTATTCTTATCAACTAAACGGACACTAAGGATTTCATAAGGCAGGTTAAACCTACACTTTGTAAACATGAGAAGGGGCATTTCCTACTGCAGATTTAGAAATGCCATTTGACCTAACCAGCAATTGATGTTCTGAGAGGGAGCAGCATAAAACTCTCAAAACAAGTTTAAACAGAGAAAGCTTTCTGCTTTTGTATTCAGTTCTCATAATGTCCACCAAGGTTCTGTTTAAATTGGGTCTATATATTAAACAAGCAATAATGAAATCTGATTAATCTGGATTTAAATTAGTCCTCCTCAAAGCCTGCTTGCTGATGTGAAATTTAAAGTAAATGTTGAACTGACACTCTTGGTCATAAATCAAACTTTGTTTAAGGTTATTTGTGTGGTGATTAATTAAGAGACAAAGATTTGTTTTTTTTCTCTTCCTGCAGGATCTTTGGCTTCTACAAGGGAATCCTGCCTCCGATCCTGGCAGAGACCCCAAAGCGAGCAGTGAAGGTAGGACAAAGGATGTGTGTGTTTGCCTTTTGAAAGCTGAAAAGCCTCTCAGGATGTCACGCAAGGATCTGGATCTGGTTTCATTGTGCACAGCTCTACTGCCATATGAAAACACTCAAACTGCTCTTACATGATACGCACGTGTTGATTAAACACATAACGCCCTCAACCATGTCTGCCTCTGTAGACACTCCTGTTTGCTCTTTTTTCACCAACCAAATATTGACTTACAAGCATTTGCTGTAAGCCATCCTATAAGCATCATCTTTTAAGGGGCAGAATTACTCGTCCAAGGTTAAACTGGGGCACGGGGTGCAGGGGGAGAGCGCAATTTGGCACTACACCTCTCTGTAATGAGATGCTGGAGACAAAGTGAACTTTATAAATAAACGCTCACGCTGGGAGAAAGGAGTAATCGCTCACACTGCAAACAAAACCAGCTAATGGTGAAAATGTTAAAGCAAATGGCTGCTCTTTGGCACAGATGATCACAAATCAATAAAAATGCTTTCTAGTTCTGACTGTCTAAGATTTGAAGTTCCGTTTTTAAATGCATATGATCGTACTAATACTGGTCCTGTTTATCTTTTCAAATAATCATCCTCTGTTTCAAGTTAAACCCACTTCAAATCTCAAGTCTGACCAAATCACATGGTTCCAGTTTAGATCCAACTTGATTGTTAGTAACCTATTGCCCAGTTATATGTGAAGGACAGAAAATGGTTTGTTTCCAAACAACTCGTTTATTGCATTTGTATCAATCTGGTCCACTAAGATGTGGATATTTGCTGCAGTTATCTTACAGTGAATTGTTTTGAGAATATTTTTAACCCTTTAGATGAGAAGATGAGTATAGTTCCTCATCCAGCCCAGAGGGTGGCTGAGAGAAATGGGCCTCTATGCAACATCATATTCAAACCCCTTAGAAACAAACAGACATGACAAGATTTAAGATCAGTTTCTGTTCCTGGAATAAAGATGAATTAGATGCGTCTCTGTTCGTACTGTATGTAGATGGTGTTGCTTGCTAATCCTCATTTTTCCTTTGCAGTTTTTCACCTTTGAGCAGTACAAGAAGTTGCTGAGTCTGAGCCCTTTGTCTCCGGGTTTGGTGAGTCTGCCAAACAGCAGCACCTAAGTACACCGTTGCTTAAAAAAATAATAAACGTACACAGAGAACCAGGAAGAATAGTTCAGCTGAGCTCTGCTTACCTGCCAAACGTCTGTTTAAAGAACCATGAAGAATTTTAGCAGGAATAATACTTCATGTAAGTGCAAATATTCTTCTTAATATTCAGCCTTTAGTGGTGCTTCAAGAATAAGTAATGCATAACTGCATGACCATTTTGCTCATTCTAGATTATTACATTTCTTGGCATTATACATCTATTGACACAGCTCCTTGTAGACGCTTGGTAGTTTATTTTAAGTATATATATTTTTTTATATCCAATACAGCACTGCTTTTCTTTTATAAGGCATTGAGACATATTAGATGGCACTGGACAAACAGAAATATCTCTAAGTAGGGATCAACCAACAAAAGCCTTGAATACAACCTTTGTCAAATGTTAAGCACTAAGCATCCTTGATGACTGACAGACATTCAGAAATGCCAGGCCTAATAGTGTTATATTAATAACACTATAACATATTAATAAGTTGCTAAATCAAACCTGTGAGGTTGATTGTTGTTTAAAATTTATGGTTTTTGTTTTGTTTGTTTTTTTCCAAGCCAAAACTCAAGGAAGTCTTGGAAGAGAAATGGTAAACATGCAATCTGTTGGCCTGTTTTGGGGCTTATGGAGTTTTGTGTATAATTTGGCTTTAGTTAGTTACCTTCATGATAATCAACAGATTAGCAGTAAGAGCGTTTATCAGGGCTATTTTGGAAAAAAAAATATTCACAAGTAGAAAAAAGCGTAAATGGGTTTTTAAATATCTTTAAGAAAAATCCGACAAGTGTAAGATATTTTTGTGATCCTTTATTTAAGGGATCAATTTACATTAAAACTGCATCTGATTTGTAGGCAGTCCTCCTGTGTATACTTGAATCCAAACCCAAATCTGTCTTTTCTTTGAAAGCTTCAGAGTTTTGTTATAGACAATTAGGGAAAAAATGGCATCATGAAAACCGAGGTTCACAGCAGAGAAATGAAACGTAAAGTTACCTGAAGTTTAAAGCCAAGACATGACTGTACATTTAACAAAGCAAGTAAGGACAACATTACACATTCAAACTCGAGAGGAGCAGAAGGGACCTTAGTTAAACTTAAAATAATCAGTTGAAAGGACAGCTGTTGGTGAGGTACTTCAAAAGATTTTATTTTCCTTTTTTTATCACTCCGACCTAGTGTTGCACAAAGAAATGATTGAAAGAAAGACATATTTGATCCTGGCTTCAGATAACGCAGCAAACACATGGAAGAACGTGTTTATTTTGATGAGACCGAAATTCTCATTGGCCTACATGCAAATGACTATGTCTGATGGTAAACTAACACCCCAAACTGCCATCACTAATGTAAAACATGCATCAGGCCGATGGGGATGATTTGGTTTAAAAGGGACAAAGAAGAGGTGAGGGGAAGATTAGTGAAAGTAGAAAGGGCAGAAATGTCTGTCTTTTGTTCTGTGTTTTATCTCCTAAAACCCTTGCTGTTGTAATAACTGTGACAGAGAGTTCTGCAAAGTATTGACTCTCTAGGCTGGAATTTTCACCGCACTGTTCAGGATTCTATTCCTCAAAAAATCTTGAAAAACTGCCAGTTTCATTTGGCCTTATAGTTATGTTCTCCTTTGTGTTGGACTATCACATAAAATCCAATGAACTACATTAAAGTTACTATTTTTAATGTAACCAAACATACAAACATTTCAAGGGGAGACTCCTGCAGAACCTAATAAAAAACCTTAATTTTTTATGTCCTGGAAAAACTCTCAGATCTCTTGAAAGATCAGGCTTTGGCTTGTTCTGCGGATTCTGCCTCATGTTTTTATATACAGTGCATCCCAAAAGTATTCACAGTGCCTTATCTTTCTCCATCTTTATTTCCACTGTGGAAATGTAAAAAAAAAAAAGAGTTTTTTTTTTTTTTTTTTGCTGCAAATTTATAGAAAATGGAAAACTAAGTAATCAATTTTTTTTTAACTAATCTCAGTTTTTACTGTGACCGTCAGAATTGAGCTGAAGTGCATACTGTCTCCACTATTCATACTTTAGATCAGGCATCCTAAAAAGTCAGTCCTCGAGGGCCGCTGTCCTGCAGGTTTTAAAAGGTTTCTCTGATTTAGCACAGCTGATGCTGATGATTGCAGTTCAGAAACAGCCTGTTAATCAACTATTAATGCAAATCAGCTGTGCTGGAGCAGGGAAACCTCTAAAACCTGCAGGACAACTGCACTCAAGGACCGACTTTGGGGATGCCTGCTTTAGATGTTCATGGAGCCTAAAAAGAATACACCTGTAGCAAATTAACTTAACTGGACATGATTAGGAAAGACACAACTTTCTATATAAGGTCATTCATTTGACAGTGGATGTCAGAGAACAAACACTAACCATGGGGTTGGATAAATTGTCTGTAAACCTCTAGAGGCTGAATTGTCTCTTACTTTGAAGCTCCTAATGAGTACAGTGACCTTCATTATTTATAAGGGGAAGGAGTTTGAAACCTGGATTCTTCCTAGAATAGTTCAGCTATCTGACCTTAGTGATTGGGGGAGAGGGGGTTTATTCACGGCAGGGACCAAGAACCCTTATGGTTATTCTGTCAGAGTTCCAGTACTCTTGTGAGGAGAGAGCAAAGCCTTCATGACTGTCAACCACGGATAAAGACCTGCTCCAGGGACTAGGGCAGCGACCCATAGCACAAAGCCAACCACTGTGAATTTCATGAAGGCCAAACCACAGTCCAGACTTAAATCCAAATGAAAATAGATATGCACAGGTATCTCCTGTCCAACCTAATAGAGAAAAATGAAGCTATAATTGCTGCAAATGGTGGAATAACTAAATACAAGGGAATGGCTGTGAAAAGTTACTTAAATGTGGTTTCTTAGTTTTCTGTTTTTAATGAATTTACAACAACTAAGAATTTTTTTCCCCACATTTTGGATTGGAATGTTGTGTATACAATTTTGAGGAAATAGATTAATTTGAAACCAAGTAGAACAAGGCTGAGACATAACTTAATGTGGGAAAAAAAACTTTTTTGTATACACTGTATAATTGTTTTCCTTTTTAAACCAGACATAAAATGAGAAGTATTTTAACACCCTGCAGTTTTTGAAAGTTCTCCCACTAAGAAAACATGGAGGGGCCTGAAATTACCATCATAGATGCATGTCCACTGTGAGAGACATAATCTAAAAAAGGAAAAAAATCATGAAATCACAATGTATGATTTTTTTAACTATTTATTTGTATAATAAATCAACACATAAGTATTTAAACAGCAGAGAAATTCTGTCTTAATACTTGATACAGTCCTATTTGTTTGCAATTACAGAGGTCAAACGTTTCCTATAGTTTTTCACCAGTTTTGCACAGTCTGCAGGAGGGATTTTGGCCCATTCCTCCACACAGATCGTCTCTAGATCAGTCAGAATCCTGGGTTGTCCCTCCAAAGATTCTCTATTGGGTTTAGGTCTGGAGACTGGCTAGGCCATGTCAGAACTTGATGTGCTTCTTACAGAACCACTCCTTGGTTATCCTGACTGTGTGATTCAGGGCATTATCATGTTGGAAGACCCAGCCTCATCATCCAAATGGTCAATGACAAACTTTAGACGAGCCTTGATATTTGCTGGTTTAAGCAGGGGAACCTTCTGTGCCATGCATGATTTTTAACCATGACCTCTTAGTGTACGGTATTACCAACAGTAACCTTGGAAACGCTGGTTCCAGCTCTTTTCAGATCATTGTCCAGCTCCTCCCTCATAGTTCTGGTCTGATTTCTCACCTTTCCTAGGATCATTAAGACTCCACAAGGTGAGATCTTGCATGTAACCCAGTCTGAGGTAGATTGACAGTCATGTTTAGCTTCCTCCATTTTCTAATGATTGCTCCAACAGTGGACCTTTTTTTCTCCAAGCTGCTTGGCGATTTTCCGTTAGCCCTTTTCAGCTTTGTGGAGGTTTACAATTTAGTGTCTTTGGACAGCTCTTTGGTTCTGGCCATGTTGGTAGTTGGATTCTCACTGATTGTATGGGGTGGATAGATGTCCTTTTGTGGCTAATGACCTCAAACAGGTGCATCTAATTTAGGATAATAAATGGAGTGGAGATGGACAGTTTGAAGGCAGGCTAACAGGTCTTTGAGGGTCAGAATTCTAGCTGATAGAGGTGTTCAAATATGTATTTGCAGCTGTATCATACAAATATATACTTAAAAAAATCATATATTGTGATTTCTGGATTCTTTTTTTAGATTATGGGCAGTCGTGGGTGAGCGGTTAGGGTGTCAGACTTGGATCCCAAAGGTTACCGGTTCGACTCCCGACCCGCCAGGTTGGTGGGGGGAGTAATTAACTAGCGCTCTCCCCCATCCTCCTCCATGACTGAGGTACCCTGAGCATGGTACCGTCCCGCCACACTGCTCCCTTGGGGCGCCATTGAGGGCTGCCCCCTTGCACTAAATAAATAAATGCAATTTCATGGTGTGCAGTGTTCACTTGTGTGTGCTGTGTCACAATGACAATGGGAGTTGGAGGAGTTTCCCAAAGGGCTTTCACTTATGTGGACATGCACTTACTATGACAATTTCAGACCCATCCATGATTTCTAAGAGGGAGAACTTGCTAAATAGCAGGGTGTTCAAATACTTATTTTCTTCACTTTACCAAAGTGTAGATTTTCAGTTTGACCAAAATGGCTTTTAAAGCCTAAATCAATATTTATTTTTTTTAGTGTTGATGTTTTCTGCCATGAGGGCGGTTCTTATTACGAGATATTAAACTAAACTTCATGGTGGCTCAGTTTTGAATAATCTTAGATTTAACTTGCCACGGTGGGGTTATCAAATGCCACAATGTAGTTGCAATTTGCTTGCCGTAATGGATTCTTACCTGTAAGGCCAAATCAAAGCTACATCTGCACAGAGAACGCATTTGCTAGTTTTATATCCAATGGAGGAGAAATGTTTACCTACCTTATCCATGCTCTTGTTCCACTTCTCTTACACCTCTTCCTTCATTGGACCTGTCAACTAAAAAATTCCTCTGAGGTCTGTCCATATCAAGCATTGTAATCACTTCAGATCATTTATGCAATTTTATTACTGTAGATATTAGAACTCTTTCTCCATATCCTAGTTAGCATGGTACTGCTGAATGCCTTCACTCTGATTAATGAGGACACGCACAGTAATAATACAAATAGGCAATTAAAACATGGCCGCCTGGCTGTGTAAACATCACGAGGCATGTCTGAGAGGATGGGTCCTGCGGCTCTGACAGCAGGATAAAGAAGTAGGAAGAGTAATGAGCTACAGACACGTTCTCGACATGTTCCCATTACGCCTCTTGCTGAGCATGCATTGGTATACATTTGCACATGAAGACACACAAACACACAGAAATGCAAAGCCCAGTGTAAATTTCATTTTTCATCATATAACAGGTATATTAGATAATAAAAACTGTACAAGCCTTCTTAATTATAAATTACTTGAAACTGCAGCAGTCTTGCTTTCTTTCATTCTCCTTCCTTTCACCCAACAGATAACATCAAGCATATTGTCAACTAACACCCTCAGGTGTCTTGTGTGTTTTTGCAGCCATTTGTCTGACAATGACACTGACAACCATGACGCATACGCATTTGCATTTTTAAAAAGAAAAATGACACACACACAAAAAACAAAACAAAAAACAGAACGAGTTCTTGAAACAGCACTTCACCGTTGAGGTTTCGAAAGTCACCTGCAACAGTTCCTTTGATCTGCTACACCCATACCCAAATATTATCCTCTTATCCTTGGGTTTAAATAATGTCCATCTTCCCTCCAGGCATTGTCTGCAGCAGGCCTCGGCTCAGGCTTGACTGAGGCTGTTGTTGTCAATCCATTCGAAGTGGTGAAAGTCAGTCTGCAGGCCAACAGAGATTCCTTCAAAGAGGTAGAGTGGAACAAAATACGCATTTAATTTGTAAAAAGTGCTGCTACATGTTCACATTTTCCTTGTAGCTCTTTGACAAGACCCCTTTATTTTCTGTACTCTGCAGCAACCCTCTGCTTTTGCCCAAGCACGGTATATAATCAAGTCAGATGGTTTTGGACTGAGAGGTCTGAATAAAGGATTAACATCAACACTGGGACGCCATGGAGTTTTCAACATGATCTACTTTGGCTTCTACTTTAATGTCAAAGATGCTATTCCCACCAGCCCGGTAATATGCAAGTGAAAAATCTGTGCTGCTTTGAGTTTTTTTCCTGTGGTATACTCCTGCTGCTGCGCTTCAGTGCCTCCTAACCTTTCCTGACTCTGCCTACATTTGGCTAACCTCAGCCTCTGTGATCCTCACATGTCCTAGCCACATTGCTGCAGGAGAATAACAAGTGTTTAACAGTATGATTAGCTTGCACGGCACGGAGGAAGCAGAAATCAGAAAGGAGCTTCCAAGATCAGCTCTGCTAATACCTCGTCTGTTTGCTCTTCATAACATCCTCAAAGTTTCAGATTACACATCCGGCAGTGCCTGATGGCCCAAACAAAAGTTAATTTTGTTTAATGGAAACGTTACCATACGCCATTTCCACATGTACAAACCAGAGCATTAGATTAGAAGTCCAATGAACTAATTGGAAGCAGACAACCGTACTATTTTCGAGGGGTTACAGTGGGAGGCCCTGCTGTTATATTTTCAACATTTTTCCAAAACTGCATAATGTACGACGAAGTGGGCATTCTCTGTGAATAATAATTATGTGGCTGGGTGACTAGAATAACTTTCTTCTTAGGTTATGGCCATTTCTCATCCAATTGTATGTGTACTGCAGTTATTCAGGCCAATGAAAGTGCGAACTTTTAAAAATATCACTTTAAAATGAATTCATACCTCTTGAACTTTGATATTTTTTTTCAGATCAAATTTCTCTCTCTTTTCTAGAATATGATAAAGTCATGCATTATATGAAATATTAGGCATACATATTTTCCGTAGCTTTTTGGATGCATCTCTTTCAGTTTTTGCACATCTAGAGACGGAAATCTGTTTTTTTTTTTTTTTTTTTTTTTTGCTAACTCAGCTTAGGTGGAGATCATCTGTGAAGGTGACATTTCCTGTCTCTCTATTGTCTTCTAGATTTCAAACTGGACTTTTACTAAGCCACTCTATTATACAAATATCTTTTAAGCTAAAAGATTCACTTCTTTGCCCTGCATTTAGCATAATATCATTATCCCAAAGCAGGTAACCTGTCTTGACTAAACAAAAGTATTCCTTTAGATCCACGCTGCACACACCATGTTTCATTGTGTGTGATGTCGATGGTGATGTTCAGTTTTGCTCCTCTGCTTCACATTGTTTTTGTTTTCAGGTTTATATGTAAAACAGCATTTTGGTCTAATCTGACTGGAGCATCTTCCACATGTTTGCTCTTTCTCCTTCCTCAGTTATAGCTTTCATCTTTTTATCAGATGTGTGAAATGTAAATCTAAAAGCTGTCCTTTAAGGTCAATTTAGGTGGACAGCCATCTCTTGTTAGGTGTGGAGTTGTGTCCAACACTTTGCATTTTTGGATGTTGGATTAAATATTACTGAGTAAGATGTACAAAGCCTGGGATGTTTTTTTTTAATTAATCCCTTTTTAAGCTTAAACTGACTCGTCCGCTGCATTACTTTATCTTCTTTGAATCTGTTCTACTAAAGTCCTCTAAGAAAACTCTTAGACCAAGAACAGCTGGAATTATAATAGAGCTGTGTGAGCTTCCAAAAAATTTTCTTGTTGTTTTATTTTTGAATCAAAGTTGCGATTTTATAACAATTTTCCTCTGCATTACCACAAACACATACATGTTTGCCTTCTGTTCTGATGGCCAAAGTCTGTTGTCACAAGAGCTTTTACCGGGCATGAATCTGCACACTAGCTGCAGCACTTTCTTCCCTTCTGTGTGGCAGTAAACTCATTTTAAGCGTATCATCACTATCTAAAGTGTTGCAGTGAGAAATGGAGTGTTTTACTCTTGTTAAATGTAAAACGACTCAACATTGAGTGCATGTGCAGTTCGAAAATGACATTTCTCAAAACTGTGAATTGCACATGGAATTGATTGTTCAGCCCTAATTTATACTAAGATTAAGTTAATTAAAAAAGGATATTGTTTACTTATTAGGCAGCCCTGGTTGAATCTAAACATCCTGAGATATAAGAACAATACCTTTTCAGATTTTCTCTTTTAAAGCCCTTTTTTCTTTTGTACTCAACCTCACTTTTTTACACTAACATATTAAAGTTTGTGGTTATTATGTTTCAAAAGTAAAAATAGTTCACTTGTACTGTAAGTGTGCCTTGTGTGTATATTGGTGACCTGAACTGATGTGCCCATTGCTACAACATGTCAGCAACATGAGCAATGAGCTTTCAAGTCAATCGTGTTAATAGTCAAATTCAGATTACCGAGCCCAGGCTCCTGCTGTACGGACATTTGAATAGCACATAGGAGGCAGATAGCACACTGCCATCATTCACTAGAGGATGTGTGAGGAGATGTTTGCCTAAGGCTGTTAGGAAGTGGGTTGATGGGTGTACTTAGGCCGTGGCTATACCACCACCCACACCCACCCCTCACCCTATCCTTTACCCCTATCCCACTTGAAAAAAAGAGAAGAAGTGGGATTAGATGTTGATTTACCACAGCTCTTGGGGTGTCCAGCCGCTTGAGAAAGCCCTGGACCGGAGAGGCTGCTGTCATTTGTAAAAAATATCCTGGCCAATTAGCTGTCAGAGCTCTTCTAGTCTGGGCTTCTTTGGTACAGTAATACCCCTGTGCCGAGTCAAAGCCCAATTACCCAAATTGTCCCCATATGCCTCCCTAGTCTGCCTGCATGAACCCTGTTTATAAATCCTCCGTCTTGGCTATCCAAAGAACATGTGGTTCTGCTCAGCCAATCATAACGCTGCACCACAGTCAGGAAGCAAATATCTGCCCCTCCAACCACCCCCCTCTCCCTCCTTTACTACCATAAAATGATCAGGGCTTTCATGCCAGCTTTGCAATCATACGCTCCGGACCCATCAACTCTGTTTCACTTTCACTCTAGTGTAAAAATATACGCAGTGTCAAATTACTATGAGTGTCAACTAACTGTTGCTTTATTTTTTTAACACTGTCATCTTTGTCTTCTGTCAGCAATTATATATTTAAGTTTTAGATAAAGCTTTCCAAGCTCACTGTTAGATATGGAAAATTTTGCTTGTCAAGATAATAAGTTTCCACTTTATCTTCTAACAGGACCCCACATTAGAGTTCCTGAGGAAATTTACAATTGGCCTGATGTCGGGAACCATCTCCTCATGTGTGAATATTCCCTTCGACGTAGCAAAGAGCCGCATTCAAGGCCCCCAGGCAATACCAGGAGAGATCAAGTACCGCACCTGCTTCCAGACCATGGCGTTGGTGTCCCACGAAGAGGGGTACGAGCAGCATGTAAAACAAAGCTGATATTTCTTTATTCTTTTGTGATTAGCATTTTACACTCTACACTAAATTTCAGCTTCTTTTAAAAGATTAGTTTAGAACTTACCTGCAGCGTCTTCATTTAGAATACATTTTGAGTAGTCGGCACCAGAGAGTGAAAGTAATGGTAATTTCAAAAAGGGTTGAAACTGAAGTGGACTTCTATTGCATAAAAAAACCCTCCACTTTCCACAGCGTTAGAATAGTTTGTGCCAATCCTAACCTTTAAACCAGGGATGCCGAGCTCAAACCTTTAAGTCTCGGTTGTCCTGCAACGTTTGGAGCTGCTCCTTGCCCTATACACCTGAATCAAATGGTTAAACTGCCTCACTAGCATGCAGTTAAGCTATGCAAAGCTCTGCTAATGAGCTGATCTTGGAGTCAGGTGTGTTAGGGGTGCAGTCAGCTAAAAGTTGTTAAACACGGACCCTGAAGGACTGGAATTTCAGACGACTGCCTTAAATTCAACAATTTACTCATAAATACACCTTCCTCTTTCAAAGAATGGGAGAATATAAGCTTATTAATCTGCTTCTTAAACTGTTGTAATATAGATCGAGGCACTTTGAAATACCGAAAAAGCCCGGAAAAGGTTGGACACATTGCAGTGAGGAAGGTCAGGCAGTCCTGTAGCTAGGAAGAGCCTTAATGCCACTCTCTGCTTGGGTTTGTTGCGTATCTGTTGGGATACCAGGTCTGTCTTCCAGGCCTTTCAATTAGTGATAAGAGGATTTTAATTTGAAAGCGGTATCTTACATGTTTGTCATTTATAAGTTAACAAAGGAACTTACAAACACTGATCACAGGCATAATACCATTTATGTTTGATGCATGTTTAACATGCTTCTCCTGAAGCCACAAGTAAAGTGTCATCTCTCTATAGACCCATCTGCATACAGCATGATTACCAAGGCTTTGGATGATATGTTCATAGGTGTGTGCTTGATGGATTGTGTAAAAGAAAAAAAACTAAACCCTTTTGAAAACTAAAAGCTTTCTCCTTTTGATTTGCAATCAACATATATTTATTCACTCCAGTTGTTTTGCCAGAAGTTTCAGCCACAATCAATGTTTGAGCTGCAAAAAATATACTAGAAACATATTGATTGTTTATAAGCTTTTAACACCACCTTACGTTTCTGAACTATACATTTAATCCAAACCATAAGACAGAGATTTTAAATCCTGTAAACTCTGTTTCATCTGTTATTGCAGCAGTTTACCATTCCTGTAATAACTGTGAACATATATTCCAGCCTCAGAGAATGACAGCTCCAAATAGAGGCTTCAAGAAAAGATGTATGTTATGGTAGCAGTTGCCTCAGGCTTTCTGTTTTGCCCCCATGCCGCTCTGTGAGACAAGACCCCAAGAGATGTTTGTCGTTAGTGGATGTTGTTAGTTTATAGATGAGGTGGGGGTAGTGGCCTGAATGGCACTGCAACCTTGTGGCAGGCGTGCACAAACTGTGCCCCCTGCGCCACATCCAGTCCCCTTCCTTTAACACAACACAGTCTCAGCTAATTAGTGGTCCCTATGGGAGACGTCGTTAAGCAGACCCTAACGAGCCGCGCGGCGCTCCACGGGTCAATCTAATCAGACACAGGGCTAGGGAGGAAGTGGGTCGAGCCTTATTAACGCCATCAATGGCGGGGGCAGGGAACAGGACAGGGAGCACGAGGCAGAGGCAGGCAGCCACTGATCACCTTGAACGCATTAAGGTGCAGGTACTCTGCAAGGCTGCCGGTTAGTCGCCGATGGGGTGACAGATATGCCGGCAAGGAGACGGACGGAAAGCAAGGCGAGATCAATCAACATAAACATGAGAAACATGTTTCAGACTGGTTCTTCTCAGATTGATAAATCTTATAATGAAATAAAGGATTTTGTTGTTTTGATGTTTCATCTCTTAAGGATAAATCTGCTTTTGTTAGAATTAAACCAATTTAAATACCTAATAATCTAATTGCTGATTGTTTTATTTCCTGTTTGATATCAACAAATAAAGGATAGAGACATTTCTTGAAAAAAGGCAGAATTGGGAAAAAACTTTCTCATTTTTGTCTGTATGAATAACTGAACACATTGTACCTTTTTTATTGCAGTTACCTGGCTCTATACAAGGGGTTGGTTCCCAAGATTATGAGACTTGGACCAGGTAAAAACTTTCAGTGACAGTTTACACACACACACACACACACACAAAGCTGTATTTTCATGACATGTGGGGACATTCCATTGACTTTCATTCATTTTACATGGCCTAACCCAGACCCTTACCCTAACCCCAACTATTACCAACATATACCTAACCCTAACTAGGGGTGTAAATAATAATGGTTTTGTATCGATGCATCGATCCAAAAGCTGACGATCCGATGCATCGACACATCCGCAAGAGAATCGATTCATGTTTTTTTTTTTCCTCCGGTCTATTTTTATCCATTTGCTCCTGGGCGTAATTCTCCCTCCCGTGCTGCGGTGGCGCTAAACCTATTCTGCTCTCCTACCTCGCTTCCTGGTTATACTCCTGCAGCAGTGTGTTGCAGCAAGCTTGACACAGACATTTTTTAATTATGCTCATTATTAAAGCGTGGTCTGTGCTACACATTGTGGGTCTAGATACGGCCGAGGCGGCAAAGAAGTGGGAGCGAGTTTAGTCCGACGACGGAGGGACATGAGGAGAGAAAAGAGCGGACCTCGCTCTTCTAGCAGGTCAAACTTCACGACTTGTTTTCCGCAATTTCGGTCATAAAAACAAAACAAGCTGGTCTCTGCGGCACTGTTTGCGGTCAGCTACAATTTGGGAGAGGAGCAGCGGAGCGTCTCTCGGCCGTCGACACTCTGGAGCCGAGGTATTTCATTGAACTCATTGCACTGATTTTGTAGAGTATTTTTGCGGTATTTTTTGATGCAAATTTTCTACTTCTGCTATTTGCTGTTGTTTCTAAAAAAAAATGCATAACGATATTACAACTTTCATTGATTTATTCCAAACTTGAAACTTTGTTTAGCCTGTAAGGTGTAAAAAATATACTAATAATAAAAAAAATTTTAATCGATTAATCGAATCGAATCGAATCGTGGTGTATCCTTGAGTATCGAAAATAATTGAATCGTTGGGTCAGGAATTTGATACTGAATCGAATAGTCATGATGGATGTGATTTACACCCCTAACCCTAACTCACAGGACAGAACTATACCATATGGGGACCAGTTGAATGTCCCCATATGTACCTGTAAGTCCCCACATGTAGGATATTTTACAAAATATTGTCCCCACATTGCAGGTAAAACACATCCACACATACACTCCAACATCTTATTTGGGAATTTTCTTGCAGATTTCCAGCAACCCGTAGTCATAACAGGGATGTCTATCTCTCTTTTGTATACTAATCTGAATAATATTTCCTATACATTTCCCATACTTGTCTAATAGTTTCCTTCACAGTAACTTATTCTAACATGTCATCATTTTACAACTCCAAACTTCAGTGAATGCTCTTCAGAGTTTACTTCACAGTCTGACACAAGTTAATGCATAATTATGAAGAATAAAAGATTGTTATCGAAATTTCTACTTAGAAAACAATTGCAAGTGTTGAGCATTAGCATTCAGTCCCCTCTGAGCCAATGCTTTGTAGAATATCCTATTATCTTATGTTACTGTGATAGACTACAATTCAGAAATGAAATATGTGTGCATTCCTCCATGAGAAATAGTTCAAAAACAATTAGATTGGATGGAGTGTTTTTGAACATCAGCCAGGAACTTCAGTGGGATAATTAGGGTTGTTGTCCTGCTGGGAGGAGAACCTCCTCAGTGCTATCAAGTCTCCATCCATCTTCCTGTTGATGTTACTTTGTCTATAAAACAAAATATCCCCTCAATATGATGCTGCCATTGTCATGTTTCAAAATGATGGCCATACAGTGTTGCGGAAGGATGTCCTTTCCTCAACACGAGTTTTTCTCATTCCTGTTGTGGTTGTCTATGTAATATTTATGTAATATAAAAGCAATATTACTTGATCAATCCTTTCCTAACATTAATGCTATGAAATTGGTAATAATGATATTTGTGGTTCGTTCTGATCTCTTATCAGGTCAGAGTTTGTATCGGCCAAAACTCAGAGCTGCAATAACAATATTTTATCAAAATTGAAAAAGTTGTTTCGGGACATATTTTAATGTTTCGGGATTTACATTCAGGCCAAACATTTACATTGTGATCATATACAACCAGAGCAGCTTTTCCACACATTCTGGCTCTTTATAAACTAAAAAAATTGATGCATTTTGAGTTTATTTTTAACAAAATCAGAGAGTTTCCCTTGTTTATTTTGCCTGCAGAGTTCTGAAATCCGCACAAAGCTGTTTTTTTCTATAATGTTCTTACAAATCTTTAGTTCCAATCATTCTGCCTGACTTTGTATTTGTCTGTTATTTAAAATCTTCTAATCAATATCCAAATACATTGAAAAGAGACTTTAATAGTACATTTGTCTAATACTCTCTTCTTGTGTACAGGAAGCCTGGTTTCTGTTGACTGTGTCGTATTTTGTTTCAGGTGGAGCGGTGATGCTACTGGTCTATGAATACATGTCTGCCTGGTTACAGAAAAACTGGTAATAAGGTGAACAGGGAAGATAAATTAAAGCCTTTCATTTCTGTTTCCCAAGTTATTCCTGTTTAACAGATTTACCAACTGACCACAAAGCCTTTATTTTTAAAGATTTTACAAAGATACCAAATCAGCATATTTGGTCGAAATACCATCATGCTCAGGAATAAAAGCTGAGCTTATTTCTAATGAAGTTCTGTTGCTCAATAGAATCTTTTAACAGATTAAGTTTGCACCTAATTATATTTTTTATCTTATTATTTTTTCAGTATCAAACAACCCAGCATAAGCAAAGCAAATGCTGACTTTATAAAGAGACCTTTGTAAACAAAGCTCTGGTGTTAGTTGAGAAAACACATCAGAACAACAGGTTTCATTTTACAGGTAAATCTTAGCATTGTTAAAATGAGTTATTAGTCATCTTGAATGAGAGATTTTTATTTTCTGTTCCCACTTATTAGAAATTGATGAGAATATAATGAATTAAACTTAGAATCATGTGATGGCTTTCACCGTCTGAGACGCTGTGACTCCCTTACAGTTAAGACGATGTGGATGATTACAGTATTTTGATCCTCATTGAATTTAAACACCAACATATGTAAAGCTTTAAACTGTAAGAAAGTAAAAAAAAAACTTTGAAGTTGTTTACATGATAATCCATTTTCTGTCTGCCATAAATTAAGATGTAAATGGCTTTATAAACCAAACGTGTTTTTTTCCCTGACTGGTAAACTATCACTCATGCTAAGTAAAAAGGGTTAAATGCTTTTTGCTTTTTTTTATGCACTTCAAATTTGGATTTACACAGACACAGTTTACAAGTCACACAACAGGCCAATATAAAACATCTTAGAAATCTTTTTTTCCTCAGTGTTTCACAATATTCAGCTTTTCTGGTGTTTCTTCACCGAAAGAATTGCACATCAGTGATGCTTTTCCCCCTTGAGGTTTTCATTGTGCTCCTTTTTTTTTTTTTAAGCGCGTAGGTAATTTCTGTCATTAAAACATGTGGTTGTTCTTATTTTAACAGAATTGTGTTCTTTACCCATCCCTTCTGGGAATCAGTCCAAACCAATTAGTGAGTTTTATGGAAAAAAAACCATTGCGAACACACGGACGACACAAAATAAATCACTTGGCATCTAAAGGATCTTTGTACTTATCCATGTGAAAAATAGGACTTTCGGGTTAGTCAGAGTTACCAAATCATACTAACAAATACTAACAGATACTAACAGATCCAGGTAGTAAAATTGTATTCAACTTGCATCTAATGTGATAGACCAATCATGACGTGGAGATAAAATGATACAGGGTTTTCAACATTAAAAAATAGTGTGTATTTGTATAAGACTCCAGTCAGTCAACACTTTGGAGAGCCTTTCACTGTAAGTTAAGGATTTTGGGGTATGTCTCCACTGGCTTTGCAGTTATAAAAGCTGACATTTCTACCCACTCTTTGTCCAAATGGATGGAAAATAAACATCAATGTTCAAGTTTTTCCACAGATTGTCAATTGAATTAAAGTTTGGTATTTGCCCGGCTCACAGATCTAAACCAGGGGTCTACAACCTTTACAGTCCAAAGAGCCATTTTTGACTTCAGTTTGGCTAAATACATCTGATTTAGAGCCAATAATTTTGCATGACCTTTAGAATAAAGACAACTGGTTTTGGAATGATGGAAAACAACATTTTACAAAAAGATGATGGATCCATTTTGTTTTCTAGGGAATGTTATTTGTGGAAAATTATGTACAAATTGGCTAGAAAACAAATATATCTGAAACTGTGAAATTTTGGCGATTTCTAATAGAAATATTTCTTGTCTAAAACTTGCATTTGGTTCTTTTTTATTATAAGTCAAAGTCATTTAGAGTTGTTGTTGAAGATGCAAATAACTACTTGTACTCCATTCAATCATAGCTATAGCTGCATCTTTAGGGTCATTCTCCTGTTTGAAATGAAACCTCCAAGAATAACGTCTTTTTCAGCTTTTAATATTTTTTCCACGATTGCACTATACTTGGCTCAATCTATCTCCTTATCCTCCTCAATCTGTTTCCCTGTCCATACAAATGATTTTACCACAGCAAGATGGTGCAACCACTCTGTTTTCACTGCAGGGGTAATATGATGACTTGCAGTGTTAGTTTTTACACCACCTTTTTACCACATTTGGCAAAAGTTTGGTTATGTTAATTCATTCAAATAAATTACTTTAAGGTTTACGGTGGTTTCCTTACAAAAAATGGGTTCTCCTTCAAGGCACTGTGTTTATAGTTGCAAATATATACTTTGATCTCTGAAGTATGATTCACTATTATCATTTGAATCAATAAAATATTTTTTATTGAATTAAATTCCATCTCTATAGAAATGTTTTTTTTTTTACTTTTCAATGGTCTAAAATTTTAGGACATTTTTTTTTTTATAAGAATAAATAAACATTTAACTTTTCAGTGTTCAATGTTTCCACCCCACCCACACCCCACCGACCCATCCTATTGGCCGACTTCTGCTGTCAGACTCCCGTCTTCTCTGCTTGTGTTTCAGTTCAGCACTGATATAAGCATATCAGCTTTCCGACGTTTACTGCGCCATCACTCGCTTCTTGTCTCTCTGCCATCCTAGCTTTTTGTTGTTTGACTAGCTGTCAGCCAAAGAAGCTGCGCTTGCCAGCCAAGTGTCAGTCTCTTCCGTGTGTGAGCATAGTTTTTAGTGCAAGCTAAAACAACACGCTTAAGAAAAATTCTAATGTGGCTGCAGTTTTCAACCAGGGGGGGGTTCCTGCACACGTTCCTTCCCTTTACCAGCCTATCTTTTCAACAAATATGCAGTCTCACACACACCTGCTCTACAGCCGCAGGCGAAGGGACTGCCCTCGAAGACACTCATCATAACTTCATCTGGTAGAAGCTTAAATCGAGCCACGTTGGTATTTGACAGCTTTCCTTAATGTGGGAGTTTTCTTCGCGCCAAACTAAAACGGCCGCCGGTTTTTTGCCCAGGGGCATGTGGTGACAGACGAACAACTGTGTCTTGCAGGCTGATGAAATCGTAGATGCTTAACCTGCCCATTCTGTAATGAAGTGCTCAGTGTGGATGTTTGTTTGGGGCCTGACAGCTTGCAACATGCGTACCAAAATTGCCGATAGCTAGGCAACAAAGCCACCCTTTACCTGAATTCCCTGCACATCTCGAGCATCATAAATCAGCAAGATGCTCAGTCTTGATATGAAATGTTTCACCTCAGTGGCTCCACTTTGACAAACCTGCACTCTGCGTGCAGCTCTGCCTGTGTTTTCCAATGCAAACACAGTCGGTGATTAATGTGTGCTAAAATCTACCCCAGTGAGGGTGCATGCATACACAAAGACATGTTGGGGTTTTTCTCTGCTGATTTTTTTTCTTTTCTCTGTTTTAGAGGTTTTGCTCACCTGTCTGGTCAATGTTGTTGTTTCAAGGCATTAGGAAAACACTCTGGCTGTCGTCAGCTTCTTTTAAAAGTGCTCACTGAGCAGAAGCACGCATGGAGCTCTGTTTTCAGCCAGTGTCAACATTCTCTGCTCTGTGTTACTCTGCAAAACGGGGCTGTCTTGTTTCTGATTGCATGTGGAGAAGTAAAGATAACCATATGACACTGAAGTCAGACTCAACATAATTAATTATAAACACGTGTCGGCCTCTATTTTCAAAACTACATCTTAGACCATAAACCTGAGCAGCAAGGGTCTTTTTGAAAACTTGATTGTTTTTGTACATATTATAATATTTTCTATAACTAGGTTGAATTCTAATGTTTTATGTCAAAGAAAGCCATTTCTTGTCTTTTTCTGAAGTAAAGAGAAATGTTTTGTTAAACATGCAACTCTCTCCTGCAAGTGAAAGAGTCATTTGCTGTTGGTGTTAGACTGTCTTTGCTAGAAGGACGGCTGTGATGGCCAGCCTCTGCGATGTGGTTCACATACGGTCAAACACTGCGACCGTGAGCAACGGTCCGTGACCACTGGATGCGGGGAGAGGTGCTTTCCAAGTCAAATCAGCTCCTGCATTGGGAGGACTTGTTGACACTGCAACGCAAAGGGACTGTTTATGCTGCAACACAGGACGGACAGTGAAAAAAAAAAAGTGAAACACCTCCTAAGTTCCCTGAGCAGCAACATAGGAGGAAGAGAAAGAGAGCAGGTGAGCAGCTTTATCAAGAGATCAATCTACACCTCTACGCTGGAGCTCAGTTTGTTTAAAACTCTGGTTTTCACTGCAGGGCTAGACGAGGCTTGCCAGACTCACCGAATAATTTATTGCTCCACACTTTCCCCTTCTTCGAAACTTGCTTAAAGTGTTTCTTTTTTGTGTCCATCTACAAAAAAAAAAATATTCACTTGCTTTCCTTTAGTAATGAACGTGGAAATGGGCCTCCACCAAAACAGACCCCGGTCGGCCCCTTGGTATCTTCCTCATCCTTTATCAATGTGCCTCCAACAGCTTCCAGCAAACATTCCTTACATATAGCCTAAAATGCTCAATTCATTTTTAATAGCCAAAAGCTGACATTTATCCCGGCATGAATTAAAATGAAAGTTCCAAATGATAACATCAGATTTTAATTTCGAAGACTCTCCTGCTTTATTGGTTCCAGGATTTTGTAAAGTTATGTTGCCAAAATGTTTATATATAATTATTAGTAGAGTTTTAAATGAAAAATATACAGCTGGGTCTAGAATTATTCATACGCAGATTTTTGTTCATAGTAACTGTCTTATTTGAACAACAGAGCCTTACAATGGAATAAATATTAATGAATGTTAGGAGCAAACTTAGGAAATTTGGTGGGAAGTAAATATAAGGGTGACGGCAAGGAAAGATAAAATCGTGAAAACACCAGTTGGAAAATGCAAGCCTGCCCCCCATAGAAGGGATCCGCTTGCTGTACTTTTGATCCTATATACAAAATTTGACAAGTGATAATTCTTAAAACTCAAATTTAAAGTTAATGTTTTTTCTTAAACAATATTCCTTTCTAAATGTTTTAATGTCTTTTGAGAGGTACCCATCTAATTTCTTATGAGAAAAATAACCTACTTGGTTGGGTGAGAATAATTTAAAATCCTAATCTGAATTATTGTTGGTACTTGGCAATATATTTTCTATGATTTTAATCTGTTTGGGAACATTTTTCCTTTCAGAATAACTGTTCCTAGTGGAATTCTTTGTATTTTCTTCACAGATTTATTGTCTTACACTAAAATAAAGGGCATAAATAATACTCCTGTGAGTACTGTTTTACTGGCCACTGCGGCTCTATGCGGTTATGAACTCTGTGCACTCAAAGGCTTTCTGATGAACTGCCCAATGAGGCATGACACATGGAAATCAAAAACGCAGACTTTGTAAGGGCGTGCTTGCCTCTTTTTTGTTTTTTTTGTTTATGGAAAGCAGCTTCCTAATCATGGAAATCAGGACGGAATACCCTGACTTTAGCAAAGAAGAGATAAGTGAAGCTGAAAAACATCTTCACTGGGATCATTTGTACCATACATCATCATGATTCATCCCCCCCCTCCAAAAATACCCAGTAAATCCCCAGGGAAAATCAGTAAACAGCCAAACAATTTAATAAGATACATTCAATTTCATTGTGCAACATTTGTCAATTGATAATGCTCTGCAACATAATTCCAATTCTGTCCAAATGCGCATGGAAACTCCCATGCAGTTTGCAACACTAATTGCACTTCATTCAACGTACCTTAATCTAATAAATAAAGACTTCTTTGTGGAGCTCTCTGGCTACACTTTTAGTGAAGTGGGAAAAGTAATGCTCCATTTTCATGAACAAAAATCGCATACAAACTTTAAAAAAAACAATAGTATTAAACAAGCACCCTGAAACACTAATGCAAAGTGTTTTCCCTTAGGTTGATTGTATATTTCTGAAGTTGTACATTACCCCGTTTTTTTGCCCAAAGAGTCTGAGAGGAATAGTGTTGAAGAGTGGAGTGGTGGTCACACACCAGTCCCTTCAGAACACCTGTTCTGCAAGTGCTTTTAGACAACAAGTTTGTTGTATTGACCGTTCACTCCCTGCGAGTCTTTAGCCTCGCTGTGCTGAGGGTTGGAGGGGGAGCGTCCTGCACTCAGTGGAGCAAATTAAAGTTCTGAGTCCTTTAAAGAAAAGGGGCAGTGGAAACCAAATGATGTGACGTGAAGTCTCCTCTTATGTCCTGTCGACTTGCCCCCTTCTATTCTTTCCCCTCGTCCATCTCCAGTCCTTGGAGGGGATCTCAGAGTGCCGACGCGGCGACGGGGTGGATGGCGTCACGGCTTGCTGCCATGCTCTTGAAGGCAAGAGGGGCAGCGAGGTCACAGCTGTGGGGAGATAGAGCACTGCCACTGGCCGGCTGCCATGTGGGTCCGGTCACATAAGCCGACGTGGTGGCGCTGTACCCCATGTAGGGTGACACTTGGGTGGGAGGGTGGTAGGGAGGGATGCTGGGCGCTGTGACATAGCTGTTCACTGTGGGCAATCCACTCGGCGTCTGGAATTAGAAGAAAATATCAAGATTAAATTTCACTATAGATCAAAAAGGACCATTTCAGTCAGATTTTTTTTTTTTTTACTGTCCCCAAATGGGTCCTCTTTATTACTCACTTTCTTTAGATAAATGAAACAGATGTTATTTTGTGACAAAACTCCTTTTGAATTTTGATTAAATTAAGGTTTTGAGAGATCTTATGAAAAGGACCCATCCCAGACAAGCACACACACACAATAGCTATAAAAAGCAAGCTGCAGAAATAAGTGAAAGTCATGTTAGTTGAATTATAAACAGCAGACCTTAATCCCAACTTCACAGCCACCACATAAAAATCCCATTTTCCCAATTTTGATGAAAGTAAGGATGATCAATTATGCGCACTCATGCTCCTGGCACACATTAAAGGAGTGTAACAACCATACATGCATGGCTGCTCTGTTTTTTTCCAACTCTGAAAGTGGACATTTGTCCATCAGCGTCCACATACCACGCCAGACGATGGAGAAACATACTTGTTGGGGGATGCCACAAAACAGATGTCATGATAGATTAAGGGGATGGGGGGGGGCAGGAGGAGAGGAAATATGAAAGAGGATAAGGAAAGGGAGGGCTTTGCAGAAGGAACCGGCTCTGGCACAGGAACAGGATTTAACTGGAGGATTTCACATTTGGATCATAGAGGCAGAATTTCTTCTCATGGGTGGTCTGCTGGTGCTAGACCAAATGTTTTTTTTTGTTCATACATTTAGGAAATTCCCTGCATTTACATGCTTGTCTAATATGGTTCAAATAATATACATTTTTGAAAATATCTAATTTAGAGTTATACATGGGATTTTTCTAGCTATTAAAATGCATTTAGGTTTTGAAAATTTACTTTTTTTATTAACAGATTTCCTTTCATACATTTTTTTTCCAATGGATCAAAGAGAAACAAGGTATCTCCCCTCCCATAATATGTTGCTGCACAGTGCTGGTCAGCTGGCTGAAATAAATTCTATTTTTTGTCATTCTTATAAGAAAGAATAAGCTCTTATTTAAAGTTTTATTAAAAAAAAAAAAAAAACACAGCAGCAGTTCTTGTGTGAAAATTAAACTAGCACACCCTGCAGCTTTTCATTTAGTAACGCTGGTAAAAAAAAAAAAAACTTTGCTTAGATAAAAGTACCATTTCTGCAAAGCAGTAGACTGAAAGGTTATCTACCTAAGCAGATATCTACAGTTATTAACCTGCTAGTATCCAACTTCTATATTTGTGTTTCTCCACAATGAGCGGAATGACCCAAAGTGAAAATATTTAATGCAGACAGCAGCTGAAACAACATGGATATTTATTCCATTTCCATTTACTTTGTATTGAAACGGCAATTAATAAAGTTTTTTATACAATCATAAAACCTGTAAATATCAATGTTATGTTTAAAGCAGTGTTTTTTTTTTTGTTTTTGTTTTTTTTGCTTCCAGTTTCAAGTAAAATTAAAACATTTTTATGACTGTATAGCACTTAAGTAGTTAACTGTTTTTACACACTGTTTAGATTGCATAATCTACTAGCTTTGCTTAATTTCTTTTAAATTTTTGTCAGTTTCTTGCATATTTACAACTGATGTATTTTAGCTATATATATATATATATATATATATATATATATATATATATATATATATATATATATATATATATATATATATATATATATAATTTTATTATAGGTAACTGGACTAAAAACACCACTGTAAAAAATATAAATGTAACTCAAGAAAAAAAAAAGGATTTTTTTTTTTTTTTTTTTTTTTTTTTGTTAAGGTCTCAATTCTTAAACATTTTAAAAAATTTTAGGGGGTGGACGCAAACAGTTCCCTTTGTTTTGCACATTTACACACGTTATCCTAGTTCCAGCTTGATTTGTCCTCTAATCAGTCTAGGTGATGCTCTCGGTTACCATGGATACATCTGTCCATCTGCGATGAGCGCGCGCGGGTCATGTGTTCCTACTGCAGCCTTTGGCCTTCAGCCCTTTTTAGCTCTCAGTTATTTTTGTCCAATACATATTCGAGCTAAAAATAAACGGCCGTACTGTCCTCTAAAGGCTTTAACGATTTATTTGTTGATTTGTTGTTGTCGTTTGTTTTTTAAGAACCAGTGGAATTAAACATAAATCCAGCAGCTTTAAATCTAGAAAGGTGTTTGTAACATAGAAAACTTTGGAGCTGAACATGTTTCCATTCTTCTAACAGCAGATAGCTATCTCCACGGGCTTTGTGTCCTATTTTTCACCACGTATTTTTCACCTGCTTTCCTAATTCGTTTTTATTTTTTTGCGTAGCCGTCTATCAAGCGCCGTATTAGTTTTTTTTTTTCCGGAGAGCGCTTAAAGCGACAGCACCGCCTAGATTTACTACACACAGCCTGAAAAATCCTCCACTGATAGAGTGGGACCATCAATCACACTTGATGGGCATTTCTAAGGTTTTTGCGCTTCTTGGCAAATTGAAAGAGAATTGGAAAACACGCATGGCCGCACTCAACCACTCAAAAGAGTCTGTTTTGTTTTGTCATTTTTACATTAAATGTAAATGTTAATTTCTATAAAATTAAAATCGGCTATAGCGAAACAAACCCTTAGAGGAAAATCAAATTGTTAGTATTTTCTATGTTAAGGAAACTCATTACAATTAAAAATAAATGGCTTACGTTTAAAAATTGGACTTCATTTTGGTAGTGTCTACAGAGTCAGTTATTTTGTAAAAGCATCTTAACGCGTATTTTTGCTCTATAACATGTGTTCAGTTATAAAAACACTTATTCGAAAAAGTTGTAATTAAACATTATTTAAATGTTTTTCCCCAACAGCGACATTTATTCTAGTATGAGTATATTTTATGCAGAATCTTAAAAGATAGTGGTGTATATCATACAAACCCATACAGCATGCTTCTGAAAAAAAATCATTGCAACTTTATGAGAAGTGTTGTTGCATCTCTTATATAGGCCTAGTTGTTTTTTGTTTTATAGGTTTTGAAGCAAATGTTGATCCCATGAACAGCTCAAACATCTAATGTTGCTTTAAATTACTCACGTTAAATCAACTAATTTGCATATTCGAATAATTGACCAGAAAATCTAAAAATATTACGAAGGACTTTTGGTATTTTTTTTTTTTTTTTTTAGGACTGGAAATAAATTGCAATTCAATCTGATACCAAAATATTATTTGATAAAAATCGGACTTTTCATTTGCTAAATAACGAGCTGCAGAACCAACAGAAAAAGCTGCTTATAATATGAAAATAAATATCCTGGAAAGCACAATTTCTGTGCCAACCTGCAGGTTTGTTGCTCATTTAAAAGGGGGACATTTCCAAGCCAAAGGCCTATATTTATCTAAATGAATAAAAATGAAGATTGTTATAAATGATATGGGAAAAATCTGAATAAAGTTACTGATTAAAAATGAGACATTTCCAAATTTTACCTGTGTGTATTTTGCTTCGTGGGGTTCTAAATGCGCCTTATCCATGCCATTGACTAGTGCAGAGGTTGCTGGTGGGAAATTACTCCTGTTTATAGCGCTCCATTCTTCTAGTTTGGTGCTGGGAAAGGATGGACTGTCACTAACTGGGGGAGGTAAAAGAGAAAAAAAGAAGAACAGGAAAGTCAGGAAGGGCGTTTAAAGAAAATTTCGGGAGAAAGAGAAAAATAGCGGCCCAGGTCGCTTCTACTCTTGCATTCATCAGCCGCAGGTTAGCCAGGTTGCTGTAGACAATAAACCCCGTGACATTTTGCACTGAACCGTGCGCATTCGCCATTTCTACGCACCAATGCTACAATAAATCTACGTAATTTGGGATGCGTAAAAATTGAAAATATAGCGTTCAATAAAAAAAGAAAATTCTGCATTTTTTTTTTTACATGTTAATATTTTTAAACTCTAAATCTGATACTTCTACAACTATTAATTTAACATGTTTAGATAAATGGAATGCGTGTTGATTGGAACAACTGAAATAATAGCTAATTTATGCGTTTTATTTCTCTTATTTGTTCATGCTTGTGAAGATGTGCTGGAGTTTTTTTGGGTTATTTATGAAGATAAGATTATTATACAGGATGTAAGCGAATCAATTCATCCAATTCCATTGCTTGATACTTCCAGAGTTTATGGCTGGAAGAGAAACCCTATTAAACAGTTAAACAAAAATTATGATTTAGACGCTGAAAAAAAATGTCTTCATTATTTTTAATCAATCTCAGCAGTTTTGCATTTGTTGCTCGCAGTGGATAGTTTAATACATGCGTATTTAAAATAAAATAAATAAGCTCCCTGCCTATTTAAACACCCCCCATAAGTTCTAAATCCACCTTTAAAGCTTTTTAAATGGTGAAATCGGTGAAAAAAAAAAAAGGTAAAAAGCTGCAGCCATCTGCAAGTTATTTGGAAAAGCATAAATTGTTTAGAAAGGCAGCCTTTCAAAACACAATCCTCCCCCTGTGAGTTCTAGCAGATATATCTGCCTCGCATTTTGTCTCGTTTAGGTCGCTTAAGTTACAGATATACATTGTTAGTGTGGTGGAAGTGTAGAGGAGCCCGGAACCTTGACAGCACTTCCCCTCCTGCCCCTGGTAAACAAGCTGCTGAGCCCGAGCCCACCATTAACACTGATTTATGCCGGATCCTGTTTCACTGTTTCCAAAACATCTGCGGTCGTGTTGAGGAGGGGAGGCAAAGTCATCTGGGCCTTTTACCTGCATGTGTCACACAAACTGGACTCCTTTGGCCAAATAACACCCAACATATTCTGACACACTTCATCTAAAAGCTAATGTCATCTGTTTCATGTTCAGCAGCCATTTCAAATCAAGATCAACTCACTGCACGGTACATATTAGGCCTGTTTTTAACAGCATGCTTTGGAAATTACACACATAGGCAGGCTAAAAGTAGCTGAAAATGTGCTGAAATGAGTGGCTGTAGCCCTGTGCGCAGCCTTGCTTACTTTGTTGCTCTGTGATAGATCGAATCCCCAGAATATCTGTGACAGAGTGCGAGGAGGGCCATATCCTGTGCATGGCCATGTGTCCGGGAAGGGTGGGCATGCCAGGGGGATTGGGCACTTTGGACGCAGGGTAGGAGTACAAATGGTTGTAGGATAATGAAGGCTGAGGCGGCGGGTGAGGTGCCTGCTTGCCCGACTCGTACTGGCTCTGCTGCGCCAGGTTTCCGATCTTGTTCCGCAGGATCCGGCTGATGGAGCTGACGGAGGGCAGGTTGAATTTATCGCACACTCCGTCCGCGAGCAACCTGTCCCGGATCTCCCAGGCGAAAATCCCAGGGTCCCGTTGCTTGTAAGTCCGTATATGCTTGACGACTGTGGGCGTGGTGACCCGCGGCTTGCTGCCCCCGATGGCCCCCGGCAGGATGGAGCCGGTTTCGTTGTAGCGGGCCAGGATCTTGCTCACGCAGCCGTGGGAGACGCGCAGCTGGCGGCTGATGTCGCACGGCCGGATCCCGAGCTGGGCCAGCTCTACGATCCGGAGGCGGATCGCGTTGGGGAGAGGTCGGCCGTTCACGAAGACACCGCCGAGCTGGTTCACCTCACCGAAGGCCGGTTCTGGTGTGGAAATCAAGCAGAACAGAAGGCAGTGAGACGCAACGTCAAGGCCCATCTCACACACTCACACACACATCTCATACGATGGAAGCGATTTCTCACAATCTGATTTCTGTTTAAACTAATGAAGCAGATAAACGTTTTTTTTCCACTTATAAACTTTTTTTTTTATAGCCGCTTAAAATAAAACCAAAAAGAATATTTATGCTTTCTTCTTTGAAAACTTCTCGCTTCATAAGAAGCTTTGCGAGGTGTTTGCTTAAATAAAAACAGTCTAAACGCCACGCAGATGTTTGGAAATCTGTTTTCCTTTCCTAGTTTTCCTGAAACTACAACAGCATTCTCTCTATATTTTAAGACCTCATCATAGTGACCGAATCCCGCATCCTCCCGTCAAGACACGGGGTAAAAATGAGAGTTGAACTCACCCATCGTGTTGAAGCCGCAAAGGAAGTACACGGTGTCCGCTCTGAGCCGCCTCCCTGGGTCCTGCCGCGCGTCCAGCGTGTCCACACTCGAGAAAAGAAAGAAAAAACACTTCTTGTGTGTCAAAATGAAGAAGAGGGGACAAAATTCTCTGTCTGTTTCCCGAAGGCGCCAGAGACAGGCTTACATTTCAATCTGTTGAAATCAGGGAGGCTGGGCTTCCCGGTGCGTCTGCGTCCTCTGATTGGCCAACCTCTCCAATCCATGGTCGGGATCGCCCTGCGCTGGCTGTCATTGGTGAAGGCGAGACGTTTGACCTGACAGATCTATCTCTCTCCTCCTTCTTATTCGTGTTCCCCACCTCTAAAATCTGGGGATAACCAACATGAATGTGTTTGTTATTGAGACAGATTGGGTGGGTTTTACGCAGAATCAGATCCTTCACTTTCAGAAGAGTGACGAGCAACACAAAGATGGCTCCCGGTGTTGTGATTAGGGATATCCCTGCAAAAAAAAAAAAAAAAAGAGAAACAGTTCCATTATAAATCACCAGAGCATTCAATGCTTGTATATTTTGTTTTTGATTATTGCAAAAAAAAAAAGAAGAAGGTAATTTAAAAAGTTTATGAAACTTGCTGTTGACAAAAGCGCTTAAATATGTAGCAAAAAAAAAAAAACTCATTTTGCATGGCTATGATATTATGATTATATCCCAATCTTTTAACATTTTAATTATTTTTAATGCAGTTCTTGCACGAAACACTACAACAGTCTTCTCGTAGGAAAATAGTTTCCTAAAAGGCGAACATGTGGAAAGTTTTGGGTGAAAGTAAGAAAAAAGTTAACTTCAGAGTGGAGGATCTGACAGTTTGGCTCATTTAAAACACAGAATTCCATAGTTATTGTGTAAAATTACATGTAACTTTTATCCAGATCTTTTTCCATTATGTGAATCCGTTTCGTTTGGATCCTGACTGCGCGCTCAGGTCAAATATTCCCCAAATTCTACAATCTGACCTGAAAGATGCAGGCTTTTAAAACTTATGAGAGGATATCCCTCTTTTGCATCAGTTCTTCAGATTGCACGCTCGCACGCAAATAAAATAATAACTGTTTCCAAACCTTTTTGAACATGCACTTTGAATAGAAGCCAACTTGTATTTAAAAAAAAAAAAAAAAGATTTGTTGCCTCTCTACACGAGAAACAAACACGCCACAACTTTGCACATCCACTTTCTCCTTATTATGACACATGCTTCAGGTAATCTTGTTCCAAAATTTAAATTTTCCTTTTTTTTTTTTCTTTCAGAAAGGTCTCCCAGTGTGAAGGGATCAGCTTGTATGTTGACATCAAACGGCCTTTCAATGTAATTAGGAATATTGTTGAAAGGCTCTGCAGACATTAAACAAGCTGAGCGGCTGTGAGGGGCCAAAAGGTACACAGATGATTCCACGGTATTTGTTCCAGCACGCACAGCTCTGAGGTTTAGATGCAGGAGGGGAAGCATGCTGTGTTTTGTTTACCTTTTCCCACCTTGTGAATGGGGTGTGGGGGGGTAGTAATAATTCCCTGGAAGCGAATAAATACACTCGTTTAAGTAAAAGCGTAAATCAGTGCAAATATTGTTCATCCAAACATCGAAAAAGACCCTTTTCTCTAATAAAATGTGCCACTTCAGCCTTTGCGTCCCACCTGCAATCTCCTTATTTCCAGCGAGTCGGTAGAATGTTTGCAGTTTGGGAAACGTTCTTCACTTCTTTCTCTAACTGGAATAGCAGAGGGTCGGTCGGCTGTGAGGGATCAGAGGTCTCTGCTTACTCCTCTTCATCTTCAGCACTTTCACACTGGACGGAAATGCCCCCTTCCTCCCTCTGGCCTGAAAGATAAATGTCCAAGCTGCAGACCCATGATGCTGCAGGCAGGTAACACAGGTGAATACAAATACCTAGAAGATAATTAACTAATAATAACACTTAATACTAATTTCTTTTGTCTACATAGATTATAGTCATATTTTTTTTTTACTTGGTCTAACCGAACCAAATCGGTCAGAACAATAAACAAAATATGGCAGATATTTTGTCAAATTTTACGCTACAAATTTTGTAAATATTAATGATATTTTTCTCTCTGCTGACTTATATTAATTTGGATATATAGTGTATGCGTCGCTCTAAATAGGATTGCTGTCTTGACGTCTCAAGTTGAATTGTCTTTCTGACAGATTGCGCACGTTTTTTGATTGCAGGACAGGCTGGAATTTGTCCTTTTTCCTCAACGAAAAGATGACATGTAAGTATTTTCCAATCAGCTTTGTTTGAGGACTAGTCCTGCTACATTGCAGTTTTTACAGTTCTAATAGATTTATCACTATTGGGGGGAGGGGGGGGGGGTTATTAACAATTACATTGTTCTCTACTTTTTTCTCTTTTCAACAACTTTCTAAGTTGTGAATCTAATAATAACATTTTATTGATCTCACATTGGAGAGATTTATCTCACAATGGGCTGCCATCGTGGGGCGCCTGTGGAGCAGTGTGGGATTAAGGGTCTTGCTCAGGGTCCCAGAGGGGAGGCCTTGGGAATCGAACCGGATACCTGCAACCTCCTCAGAGCAAATCAAATAAGTCCGTTTTTCTTGGTGCGACATTGAGTTGCCTTTTCTCACTTTCTCTTGAACAAATGATATTTTGACTTATTGTATCTGAGTAACTGGAGCCGGTCCACATTTTTATTTAATTGTCCAGTAATCTTTCCAGCATTTGTTTCAGCTTTTTGTCCGTGTCCTTAAACATACTTGGAATGAAAATAAAAAGCATCCTTAAATTCCTCACTGCAAAGCTGCATTTCCTTACTAGAGCTTGTCAAACTGAAAGATATGAGGCTAAACCACACGATAACTGCTCTGATCTTACCTCACTGACTACCAACGGAGCAAAGAGAACTTACAAAAGCATTTATGTAGTTTGTTTACCTGCATGGTGGTACCATAGCTACTGCAAAACCGCCGTGCTTTCAGGCGAAACTCTCCCACAATTTAAATTTCTTTAAAATATTCTATCACACTTTTATTATGATTTATGGCGTTTTGAACATGCAAAGACTTGAAAAGGTCGGAAGAAGCATCACTGTTTCCCCGTTCCCTGCTTTGGGGCTGTTTTTGTTATCAACCAAAACCATAAAGCTGCTCAAACCTATTTCCAACCCACCTGGTGCGTTTAGATCGTTGCTTATCGAAAAAACTCCTAGAAATCCCATTCATCATGCGCTGCTTGAAGCTGTTGGATCTGATCCATCCAGGTTGCGGTAAACAAAGAGATAAATAGGATAAATTGGCTTATGGACACCCACACCCCCAGTTATCCTCACACCATCCGCTGTAAACAACAAAAATAATAGAAAATAAAAATATAAAGAGGGTTTTATTAAGCGATAGGTCTATAAAAAAATTATAGATAAATAAAATAGACAAAGCGTAAAGAGAAATGCATTGCATCTCTGAATAGCTGCACATCAGCATGAAAATGATGAGGAAGACAGAAGGTGCATCTGATCAGCTGTTCGTTAAGCGCGCTTTTAATCCGATGATTAAGAAATATTTTTTTAGCGTTAACCTGTTATCTGGTTGAAATTATTTCTACTCAACCATCGTTTTCTTTCTCCCCAGAAAATCGGATTTTTTTCGGCGTTTTCTTCGAATTGTGTATTATCACACCTACCAGATAAATGGGTTTATTCATGAATGGAAAACGCCTTTCAGAGCCACATTTAAGTTAAAACCTGGGTTTAAAAAACAAGGAGTGAGCCTGATAATATTCTACATCTTTGCATTATGCGATTTAATATAGAACAATAATAATCATTATTAGTATTATTATCAATATAATAGTAAAAACATAAATAATAACAATAATAGTAATATTAATAATAATACGATCCATCTTATCCATTTCATTTGCGCGGAAATGCTTATAATTATAATAGTTTATTCCCCCTTAAAAAAAATAATCAGTTATATCAAGCTCTTAATTTAAGGAACTCCTGAATCTTTAGAAGAAAATGTAGTAAAAACGATAAAAACATCTCATTGAAGGTTTGTACAAATTATAATATGTAGCGGTTTTTCATTATAATAATTATTATTGGTATTATTTTTATGTTAAAAAAATGTTTATTATAAATTCCATTGCACTATCCCTTAATTAGATTTTTGTTTATATTTACTCATTCGTTTATTTTGGCTATCACGTTTCTTATTATTATGTATTTTATAATTTCTCATAATATAATTAATGTGGCAATAATCACATGTGTCTGTTAAAGATAAAAGTTTTTGTTTGGTCCAGACAGAGGTACGCTGAGCCGTTTCTACTTGGAGAAAGCGGCAAAAAGAAAAAAAATGGCTCCCAGTCGGTGGTTTAATGTTCCCAGTGTGATCCTGTGGGAAATCCAAGTCACCACTAATGGGTTATTATGGCGACGCGCAATGATTTCTCCTTTCAGAGAGGCTGGAGGTCTGTCATCCCATAGTCAACTCACTGTCCCCAGACTGACAGCTGCGACAGAGGAGCTGTGTTTCCCTATAGGTTCCATTTTTTCCATTAATATGTCATTCATTTAGTTCCGTATTATTTTTTTATTTTGTTGTGTTAGAAAATAATATCGGTTTCACCTGTAGCTATTTAATGGAAATAAAAGCAGGCCTATATGGAGGCTAATGTGAACACTGCTGGGTCTTTTCTGTCTTTTTTCTGCCTTTAAAATAATGCGCACTGATGACTCTGACCCTAAAGCTAAAAGAAACACGTCTGTGACACTTTTAAAGTCTATGTGCAGGTTAGCACTCGTCTTGGCCCAGCGGCCCGGTAACTTTAGTGCGGCCTTAATGAGGACGAACGCAGGTTAATGACCTATGTAGTCCTGTTTCTGAGGCCAGGCCCGGGGTTCAGCGGAGAGGGACCGAGAAGCAACAATATTTACGACACCTTTACGCATACATCACTTTGACATCTGTTCACTGGCACCTGGCCTCCATTAGTAATAAATATTTCATCCCGCTCTAAATTTGGAGCCGAAGACACCGAGGGGGGAAATACTGAGAGCTCCTCGCTTACTGTGCTTTTACGCAGCGGTGCCTGTTTGTGCAGAAAAGTG